GATTGTAACCATATTTTTTAATATGACTAATAATGAATAACTAATAATAAGTATCTTTGTATATATATATTCATACATTTAGAATGCTCTTAACACTTTGTCTTTATTGATTTTTGTTGATTAATATGGTCGGTGGCTGTAGAGGTGTGTGGGATTATTACACTGTCTTATGCTCTTAAATTAAATTTAGTTAAACAGGAAACTAGCATTGCATTTTTCAAAGCTGTGGACATTACCAGACAGCAGAGCCAAAGAGGAAAACTTCAATTGCAGTGGTGCTCGACATGTCCTTAAATCGAATCCAAGTCTAAAAGAAAAATGATGAGATTAATGCATCTCTTTCACATGAAAATATGACACAAAATGTTTTCTGGCATCATCATTGGTGAGTTGACACTGCTGTGCATTTATCTCCAGGACACCAGTGGCAGCAGAGCAAAGGATCATCCCGTAGTTTCATCTCCGGTGCCGATCACCGCTGCTCCTGCAGCTCCTGCAGCTGCTGCACACGGTAAACTTCTTGTCCTTACTCATCCGTCAGTTCTCTCTTCCTGCATCTGTAAAATTTCAGTGTTTTTCTTGCAGTACATCCTCATCCTCATGCTCCTTCCACCTCCGCCTTACTTCCTGTTATGAGCACTGTGACAGCACAGCCTGGACTGCCAACCAGCAGCCACGCGTTCCAGGTGTAGCATCGCCACTGTTTGTACTAACTTAATATTTTTTAATACATGTTGGAAGTGTGTGTTTATGTCAGTGCATGACATTATTTCAAAGCCTTGCTCCTACACACAGACTCCTCTAGCTCCATCTCCACTGCAGCCTGTGGGCCAGGTCTACCCTGCACCAGCTGTCCCATACATGGGTAGGATTCAACCACCAGGAAGCCACTAGTTCATTTGATGACCTCATGATAATAATGCTGGATGCAATGGTTCCAAATGACACACCGTTGTGTGCTGCTGTTGTTTCTCAAGGCTCTGGGGATGTGACTTCCTTCTTGATGACTGAGGCCAGACAGCATAACACCGAGATTCGCTTAGCTGTTGGAAAAGTAGGCGATAAAGTGGATCAGCTGGCTTCAAAGGTACACTCTGAAATGGTACAAAATCATTAAGCAGCTTTAATGCAAAGCAGAAACATTTGATTTGGTTTTTTTTCTTCTTTCCTCAAAATCTTAACAGATCGATGATCTTCAAAGGCAGGGGGGCCTTTCCACGGGTTTGTCGTCTGTGTCGATGGAAACCTCCATGATCTTACACAATATCCAAAGAATTGTTCAGGTACATGCATCAGCAGCGCAGTGCTTTATAGAGGCATTGTTAAACCCCCCCATCTGCAGCTGTTCTGAGCACTTTTTCTGCTTTCAGGAAAATGAGTGTTTAAAAAAGGAAGTGTTTGAGAAAAGTTCTCGCATTGAGGAGCAAAACCGTAAGATCGGAGATCTCATCAACCAGAACCAGAGGTGAGTATTGTGTATTTTGTTGTACAGTTATTTTATTTTCAA